TTAATATACTTTTCTAGAACAAGAAACATTGAAGTGATCTGTTAAAAATTATTTTAAACCAAATGTAATTAAACAGTTCATACTCAGAAAATGTGATTTTCTCCCCCATAAAGCATGTACTTAAGATTTGTAGTCTTTTCCTAGTATCATTAGTACCACATAATATCAATGTTATTAATTTGCAACTGCATTGACGCAAATCCTCACTGCATTACTTACTGCTTATTATTATTTTCATTCCTTTTCATAGATTCACCTCAGGAAACAAAACATTTTTGGTTTCAGTTAACCGAGCCCAAAAAATGCAGTAGGTTAAAATCACATTAGAAAAAGAAACCCGAACGCTCTGTTTATTTATCGGTTTGGTGTTGCAATGCAAAACACTCATTCATTGTCCAGCCTTTCCTAAGTACTTTCATCAGTGTAAGAGTTGTAATACATTTCATTTTGTTTAATTACATATTTTGTTTCTATAGCAACTAGAAAGCTTCTAATCCATTTCTCTTCCTTCTTAAGCCTTTACATAGCAATTTTCTTTCACAATACAGTAGCAAAAGATAATCCTTCTTTAGAACTCCGGGTACTATCTGTTCTTTCCAAATATCCCTTAATGAGTATGCATTAGGATTAAAACCAGTTGCAGCACCGCTACAACTAAAAGAAACCGAGTAAAAAGAACTAACAGGATCTAGACAGAAAATTCTCTAACTACTCTTAAGTAACTTCAGCATAAATTTACTGCCACCTGCAGGCTTTCAGCAGCACGGGTCTCCAGAGCACAGGAGCAAGGGTACCCCCACCACACACCCCCACGTCCGTAGAGGGAAGGCAGATTTAATATTCCCACTCGTGCCAACTGACTCAGCTTTATTTTGCTGATAGGAGAAGGAGGATGCGCTAATGTTGCCCTGTTCAAAGAAATAATGCAGCTTACTTTCATTTGTGTTGCCCTATTCCACCTTGTTCACGGAGACAGTGGTGGCGTCTGACGATTTTCCTATTGAACGTTCTAAACAAAAAAATGAAAAATAAAAGTTCCACTGCTACCTTCAAAAACATAACCCAGATCTTTAAAAAAATCTAGCAAGTCAGATCTTACAATAAGTCTTGTTTGTTGTCAAAACATCTGAAAACACTGGTTTAGGAGAACTTGGAGATTACTGCCTTACTGACATGACTCCCATACATTTATATACTTTCACACACATAAGCCATACTGGAAGAGTAATATTGATACTTTTAAAGCTTGGAAACGACAAACCAAGTTTGCCTACAAAACCTTTTTTGAACCCACAGGAAACAGTCCTTACAAAATCATACAGTGTTTTTTCCTATCAGAAGTTGCCTCAGCCAATGCCCAGGGTAACTGGGGCTACGTTACTCATCTTAACCGTTGTTTTTAGATGCTGGTGTTTGACATATACTTCATCATTTCATTTATTCCATTTACCCCTCCGATCTTTATTCTGGAGCTGGAATTTCTTCAACACTGCATTCAGCACCATACCCAATTTTGGGTCCTCTGCCTACTAGTGAATCCGTCAGCTCAGTTTCAGCATTCAGAGCCTTTACACAACATCTGGGAAAGTCAGATTTCTAGAAATGAGGTCTACAAGGAGCCCGCACACTGAAACAGGAGTCAGCTCAGCACATCGTTTCTCGCCTTTCCAGTACGGCGGTTCCTGAAAAAACAGAAATGAGTCTTAAATGTCGGAAGCCGCATTCTGTTCCGTCAAGACCAGATCTTCCGTACCGAGAAATAAAAGCATACACAATGCCACGCAAGTGCAGTTAGTTAGGCTGGCATTTCCAGGAAATATCAGGCTTAGTGATTACATGCTGTGCTTTTGATTAAACCGTAGACTGCAAATCCCATGCTGATTTACTGCAGATGTACCGTGCAGCTGACCTACACATATGCGGCAGAAACACCAAAGTATTTCCAAACACCAGGCAGTTACCATGCTATCTGGTAGTATGCACCACCCAGAGCATCCCAACTGCCAGACCGCTGAGGTCCCTTAGGTACCCGAGGGAAAATATTGGCTACTTGGTCTTAATTCCAACAGTAACCATGTCCCCGACAGAGAAGGGCCTTGAAAAAAAAAAAAAAAAAAAAAAAATGTACTTAGGAAGTTCAAGTGCCCTTAGAACAGAGCATACTCGGCCACTTGTAAAAGGGTGTCTGGACAAGGCTGTCATGTGCAGAAACAGGAGAAAGCATGACACATTTAGCTACCACAAGGAACAGTGAAAAGCTCCAACAAATCTGATATAGATAAACGCACTGAAGATTTTAGCTATTTAAATGTGAGGTCTGTCGAACACCTTTTCTCCCTTCCTCTTCCCCTTGTCCTCAGAAAAAGGCTAAAAAGCAGCTCTTCCCACAGTAATAATTGAAGAACTTCTCCAGGAGACTGGGAGCAGTATTAGTGCTTCTCTCTTTTGGTAAAAGCCAAAACCTATTTTCCCTTTCCACTTCAAAGAATAAAACAAAAATAAACAAAACCCCCACCCAGAACAACAAATTGAACCTGTTGGAAGACAGCACAGGTTTTCAAAATGAGTGAAAATTTTAGTACGTAATCATCACTTGCCACTTGATGGGGGTGGTGAGCTAGTTATGCAGCCCTTGGCTTACAAATATAAAAAAAGATGTTCCATGGACTATAAGTAGCCAATTTTTATAGTTTTAAAACAAACACAGTGCAACAAAGTGCCAAAATCCAAGTGTATTTGGAAAGTTTAAGAGCTGGTTGTTACAAAATACCTAAGCTAAATTCCACATGATACTAACGCATTAAGTGTTGCCAAGTTATATCAATTGGATTTCAACTAAATATACCAGATACCTCATCATAGGAAAGATGAGCAGATCAGCTTGCTCTGTGTGATTGGCAAAAAAACAAGCTGCATCTCCTCTGAACCATAACTGTTGACATAGAAGCCGGAAACACAATTATTGATATAGAAGCTTTTTCCATATGTGTACAGAAAGTTGTTCGTCACTCAATCCCTGTTACTCTTCATTTCCTTCCCTTTTCACATATTGCATCTCAAGGAATAAACAATATGCCCAGCATCTTTTTCCTTTCAGCACTTTACAGATCTTAATCCTATTTGCAGGTTAAAATAAAGGTACCGAGGCTTGAAAAGCTTTACTGCAGCAGTATAAAGGATAAGACACATGGACAACAGGCTAAAAATGTCTGTATTTCAAAAGGACTCAAATCTGTTGAGGACACCTCTTACATTTCATGACAGAGTGAGAAAACCATTAACTGTTCAAAAATTAAAAAGACATATAGCATGTACCAAGTATGACTTGTCTAGGCATGAAACAATTAACCAATTATAAAAAAGCCACCAACCTCCTACCTTTCCAATCGCATACACAGAAGCGATTACATGCAAAAAGGAAAGCCATAGCTCAGTTTCTTGGACTTCTAGTAACAGAACAGGTAGATCCCAGTTGTTTGATCACTAACCCATACCGCTACGCTTATTACCTGTCATGTTGATATGAATGATACTCATATGATGTTTATTCTGAGTAAAGAAGCCACACTCACCAAGCGTCAGTCCAAACTGCAGGGCTGTACAAAGCAAAGTTCTGCACCGAAGGAGATCAGATTAGCAACAGCTTTAGAAATAATAAATTGCAGCTAGAGAGGTGCAGAATATAGGAGAGGAAAGAGGAAAGGGGTGAACCACAAGAACAGTTTAGGGTGCCCAGCATGCCCTAATACAAATTATGTCAAGCACATCAATAGCTAAGAGGTTCTTAACAGTGCTTACATTTGATTTATAAACAGGGCAGAATAAAATATTAAAGAAAAAAAAAAATTGTAAAAAATCCCAAAATCTATACATACAAACACTCAAAATTCAAACAAAAAAAAAGTGCAAACCAAACGTCTTTAAAAAGATTTAGGCCTTCTGAAAACTTAAATAGGTTTCTCTTTAGCATTTGGTATGTCAGCAATTCCAACAAGACTAGAAAACTGAAGAGCAAAACAACATAAAAGATGTCCACTACCACAGATCATTTATTTATATACTAAGTTAAAAAATACGAATATTTTATTACAAAAAGTTTATCAAACAACTGTATACATACAGTTCATATTGTTAAAAGCCAACATGTCAATTGATACTTTATGTACATTTGATTAATAATGTCATACAACTGTAGAAAAGCATCACTCAGCAGAAACTGATTTGGCATTTGGAAAGTAGTTACCACCCTGCACTAGAAGAGACAATTAATATAGGAATAAAACATTTATATGTTACAATAAAAATACTTATTTGCTGTGATCATTTAAAGCAAATGGATGCTTTCTTTCTCCAAGAAGAATCATCATAAATGGAGATTAAAGTGCACATAACCAACGCATTACTAATTCTTCAGCAATCCCATCTATCATTCTAGATGTTCCAAGCACATCACAGTAACATCAAGGATTTAGGACTTTTCTCCGTGGCTTGAACAGTAAGACTTAAGAGAAATTCAGCTTTCTAAGCTGCATGAAGTAATTCTGGTGTAGAATAAGATGAAGTAGGGTACAGAAATTTGGAAAATAGTGTTTGGTGAAAAAGTAGGTGTAAATTTTCCCAGATATATGATTTCTGGGGAAATACTTTCCATTTGAAATAAAGATTCATAATATTTCATACAACTGTGGACCAAGCAAGCAGAGCATGCAACAGTATTTACATAACCATCCCCGCAGTGGTTCTTTGTGGGCGACATGTAACACAGGTTGGAGCAACACTGTCTACTTTATGCATAAATTTTCCTGGCAATCTGGGGAAGAAGAAAAAAAAACAATCACCAACTATAGATGTTTACTATAGAATAGGGTCCTAAACTAGAAAAGTGCTCCTCAAAAAATGTAGCTTTGTCTCATCACAAGCAATATAGTAAACCTTACAAAATATAACACAGTCAGTACTAGCAGAGCTGTTGAGGGCAGTAATTTTAATAAATCGGTCCACTTTGGATAAAAGAATGCTTATGCATGTTACAAACTATTCAAAAGCAACAGCTGAACAGGCTAAATTTACATCCACTAGAGAAGCATGACATGTTCACTGAAAACAAAGTGAGTTGCAGGTAATTATGGTTATCTATCATTTTTATCACACCAACTGGTCACCAATGGAAAAAAAACAACTTTTTTTTCACTTTTTTCTTTCTTTTTTCATTTTACAAATATGAGACATTCTGAGCCATTATACTTGAAGAGCATACTTCATATCTTAGGCACTGGACCCAATTTGGAGGTAAAATGTCTGTCAACATGATTTAACATCCTCAAGTTTCTGAAGGCCATCCATATGAAGTTTACATACAGCACTACAAATACACATCAGATACTGCTGTAAATTTAGAAGGAATACAAAACACTATTAAATACAACTTTCACCCCATGGCACATCAAGCATGGCAATACCACTTGTTTCATATCTGGTTAGCAACAGTCAGTTGTGGTTATGCTTTATTGAGTATTTTCCTTTCTGTAGCTGAGAAATATACAGCTTGGACTTGCTTCCATCCGGTCTTTTGAACCAAACTTCATCATGGTTAATTGTTGTAATTATGGCACTACAGAAAATGAGGGGAAAAGGGTCAGGGGAAGAAAAACAAGACGCATTTAGAAACCTTATAAGCTAATAAATAACCTCAAAACTGCAGCTGTATTTCTGTACAGTAAATCAAAATATGCATTAGTTATAAATGCTAGGCTCAAAAGATACTGGCTCCATTGTACGAATAGTTTTAACAGAATTCTCTGGTAACTGCATGTGTCTTTAGTGAAGGTAGTTAATTTTTCAGCCGTCTCCTATGAGAAAACCCTCAACATGTACAAATACAATACTGGAAAGTATACCCAGAAATTACTTTGAATACAAAGTATTTGGAAAAAATTAAACAGACTGAAGCCCAAGATTTAAAGCAAAAAAAGTATTCAACTGTTAGTCACTACACCAAGACCGTAAGAAATAAAGTCAAAGCCTGATTTACTGAATCATTCTTATATGAACGATGCTTTCATGCTCCTTGTGGTAAACCTTAATACAAATAGCGACAGAATCCGTATCCCCTAGGAAAAAAAAAAGAAATCAAGTACGACTGATGACAGAAAAAGGCTCAAAACCAGAGACTAAAACAGTTAATGGAAGAAAGATCTATCACATACTGAGTGTGACAAAACTCCCTCCAGGAAACTCTTCAGCCTTAAAAGTTGCTGAAATCTTGAAAGGCTGGGAAAGTTCCATTGTATGCTTGCCCTGTTAAGCATCAGCTTTTGGCTGTTGTCAGGCACTGGATACTAAGATCTTTTTCTGGCCCAGTACAACTGCTCCGTTCTGCAAAACTAATTCAGAATTTTTTAAATTTCAGAAAGAATATATAGTTTACTAAAATACCTTCCTGTTTCAGCCCTGAACGAACACCAAAATCACCAAAATCTGTTCCCCTTCATACACAGGGAAGAAAGAAACAGCTAGTTTTACAGTAAACTACTACTTTATGAAGTTAAAGTTAATTTTCCTGGGTAGCTGTGCATATTTAATCAACACGGTTCTTAGACTGATTTGCCCCATTCAGTAAAAGGTAGGAGATACATTTAATATTAACTGTTGCTTTAAATATATCGACCTTTTAAAATTGACAAAAATTATCCATATACAGAAAATACATTCAGATATCTTAAACATTCAACTGAATTTGCACTGTCATATATAGACCATTTCCAGATAGAAACTTTGTTAAGAGAAGGAAAAGCTGTAAAAAAAGTTCCAACTCTCTTCTGTCAGAGCACTAATCAACCGAAAACAAAGCTTATCTTTAATGGTATAAAGTGTTTTTCCATAATTAAGTATTTTTTGGTGGGCCAACAGATCAAATTGTCAAAGCCGCAAAATCCCAAGATACTAAACAAAACTTACCCAAAGGCTATTCAGAAACCAGTAAGAGCTTAAACTGTTAGTCAGATCCTAACTTGACAAACATCTCGCTATCTTCAGTGAAGCCCAACCTTTACTAGAGTCTCTCAGAAGTCCAGCACTTGACCTTCTTTGACAATTTGAACTAATGTATGTTACTGAGGTGGCAGTATTTCCAAACAAGCCTTATTCCTCAATGCCAGCATCCTATCTATTGCTTAACATGAATGTATAGAGCTGGATAAACTGAATAATCTTTACCTTGTAGGACATTCATCTTTCTTATCAATGCATATCGTCTGTCCACGTCCATACCACTCTCCATCATAATAGAGCCTTCCTTCTTCAGATCTAGCACTATGTAGATGCTTTTCTAATTTGACAGGTGCTAAAATGATCAATAAAAGTAATTTAATATTGGCTTGGCAGAAGTCAGTTAGATGTTTAATACACTTTCATCAATTATTTACATAGAAAATACATTTTTTCCATTATCAGAAGTAGCCTCTCTCTTAATAATTGCAAGAACGCAAGAATATTGGAAGCAAGCTACCTTCTTATTTCCAGTCAGATAATTAGAAGTTATATTTCCAGTTTCAGATAAAAGTTCTCTTCCCCACAACCTTCATATCTATATGAGTTTTCCACAAATGGATAAATGCAATATAAAGAAGACTTCAAATGGCAGAACCTAAAACCTCTTCATCAGCACATTACCAAAACATGCAAATAGTAATACATCACTAAAGAAATACACCACCTGCTTGCCTCCTCTCCCTTTTCTTCCTTACTCACCACCTACAAGTATTTGATTTTACCAAGCATTAACGTGCTTCTGACGTCAGTGCCAAATATCAATTAACACTCCTTTCCCATAGCTCTACTTTTTCAGAGTTGTAGCTTGCAGTGAACGTCAGCATCCTTTAGGATACACCCCTAAGGTTCAGATGCTCTCAGTTTCCTGCCTCTTCTTGTGCAAACACTGGCACAGCTTGCTAGTATTAACTGGCGTCAGCCCCTTTTAGAAGTCTAAATTTTTGTTGATAATTTTCTAGAATTCAGGTCTCAACACAATCATCAGCAATCCAGCTACAAGTATCAGCACTTGAGAGAGGGGAAAGACAAAAGCCACATCTTCCAGCTACCTCACCCCATCCTCCATCAGTGTACCAGGGCTAAAATAAGTATGATCTGCCTCTATAAAGTTCGCATCATTGCACGCAGCAAGTTCTGTCTTGTGAAACCAGACAATGTTTACTTACGTTCTGGCTTTACTCTGTGTGGCCCCAGTGTAGCCATTGCCTTGAAACACAAAAGGAAATGAAGTTAGTCAGCAAGCGTAGTCTTGATACTTGCTTTTACATGCAAAAACCACAATCAGAACAAATCTAAAATAAAGTGTGTTCAGCAGTGACACAGTAACTAAATAAAACAGCATTTGAGGGTGGAAAAAAAAAAAAATCACCTTCTTTAGTAAGTTTTGATTTCAAATAACTCAGGAGGTTTTCTAAATTAAACCCTCAAAATCGCTGTTATGTAATTGTCGTCAAGAAAATACAAAATGACATCAACTCATTCTGAAAAACAAAATGCCGTATGAACAACCTACTCTTTTGATTTATACTCTTAAGCTCACAAATTTTCCCTCATGCAAACAAATCATATTAAAAAAAAGTCTGAGTTTTTTCATATTGGTTGTTTGCTTTCTGGTTGGGTTTTTTTTTTTTTTTTTCTTAATTATTTCCAGAAAAGACAAAATTCCCCATAGATTCTGGGTTTGTTGCTATTGCTTAAAATCATGTTACACTACAGGAAAGAAACAGGAAAGCTATTTTGTGCTGTTCCTCTGATACAATAGGAAAAGAAAATTCAGACAAGTTTTCACATAGGCATCACATTTTACTTCTCTTTCAGGAAATATTATCAGTATAAAGCAGGATGGAAACTGACTCAAAGCCTTTTCCCACCAAGTTTTTGAATTTACATAAGTAGTTTGCTATTCCATAAGCTGGGAAGCACTAGGGTGCTAGGGGAAATTTTCTGAACTGCAGGTGCAAGGCAAGGATAACGTTTCACTACAGCAAGCTGCTTTAACAATATGACAAAGATCTGAAAAAGGCATTCTGCACTTAAAAGCTGGATTTATTTTTTCCAATACATTAATTGGTCAAACAAGTTTATCTTCCTGTAAACCCCGATTTTCTTATAATCTGGGAAAGACACAGCGTTTCACTTTATACAAAAAAATAAGTTATGAGGAGAGATCTTCATAAAATAAACTATTTACTATGTGAAAACACACCATGTGATTTTTTTTTTTAAAAAAAATCTTAATTTGAAACAAAATCCTATCAAACTATCCTGTCATAGTTTCTACCCAATTATGCTAGACTATGAGAAAGTAGATCCTCTTGACACAGGCTTTAGGCTCACTTTATCATGGAAAATTATGGATTACCCATTTTTAGAGATAACCTCTTCCACCACTTTATTGGATTCCTCTGCGTGATTGGGGTAGATTCAGAAAAAGTAGCAATAACATAGCTTGAACTGGAATGATTAGCTGACTACTGAAGAAATAAAAATCTGTTTAGAGTTTTGATCATGTTAGAAACACATTTATGTATTTTTAAGAGACAAAAGAACTAGACAAGAACCAAACCAAAACCCACAGCCACTGGCATTCATCCTTTCACCTTACCTTCCTTATTGTTGTCCAGTCTTCAAGTATATCAAGGTCTTGTAACATATAAACTATATAGGGGCGTGGAAAGTTAGGGAAAACTCTTTTGAACAGCAATAATAAAAATACTCTAATGTTTGTAGAAAGATATTAATAGCCGTGTTCTGCCAATCTTTCACACAAAGAATACCTACGTGAAGTGAAAGCTCAGCAAAAATAAATGCATCTTTGAATTATGCAACCTAGAAGTACACGTTAAAAATTATTAAGAGATAAGTAATAGTATGCAGCTATTCAGAGACTACTGGAGTTCAACACGAGAATAAAATAAGCAATTGTGATACAACCATTCCATCCCTAACAGTTCCAAAAGTCATTCTATTAGCAATACTACAAATTACAATTAAGATTCTCTGTAACGTCAATATACCATTGCAAATCAGCATCTACGCTAGTATCAGCATTAATAAAATCATTATTTTTACAGTATTCCGCATCATATTTCTTTGAGAGAAAAGTGCAGACAGCACCACATCTCTGAATACCAAATATCCAAAAAACAGGAAGTCAAAAGGGAAAGCCCCTTCCTTCAACTACCAACTGTAAAGTAGAAATTGTGTATTAGAACAATACGTGAACTTCAAAACAAAACTCCAAAAAGTACAGCTATTTCATTACAAGTCTTCAGTTTTTTACTTTTTAGTTTTTAGAAACTAAGTCTCCTAAAATGCCATGAGACCTTTAACTTAGATTACATTTGAAATTTTAAGAATCTTTAGCCATTTTCAAATTTGTTTTCCTCTAAATAGCAAAGAATTACAAACCAAATGCCATGTAAAATTTCTAGGTATTTGCTTTATATAGATCTGTGCAAACTGACAAGTTCACAACTATTTTAAAATCGTAAGCAAACAGAACAAATTAATTTACTTCACGACTGAAAGGATTTTCAGCCTTATGAATTCCCTGAAATTGCTGGGTTTTTACAGCTACTACTATGTTAATATCTTCTGATTGGAACATATTCTAAAATGGCAAGGTATCTTATAATTCACAGAATCTGGCGCTATTTATATGGACATCCTGATGACAAGGATGACTCATAGCTTAAGAAAATACACTTTCACACAACCTAGCACTGAAATTGATAAGAGGAGTTAAGAAACTAATGAAGCCACTAGCACCTGCATTGATTAATACCACTTGGCTTTTAAGCACCAGTTAAAAACCACCTCTACTAAATTGAATTTATGACACATCCTACTAGAAGAACAGTCATTACTAGAACAAATCATTCATCTGAGATGTGTTCCAGTAAATCAACCACCCTGAAGGAGGGTGTCCAAACAATGACATTTTTTTCAAAAACTTCTTCCTTCCCACCTTTTCTTCATATTACAAAACCTTGCAAAAGTAGCAGGATTTTTTGCAGCAGCTTAGCAATAAAAGATGGCCTTTGTACCATATAATGTCAATACTTAGAAGTTGGACTCTTTTAGGTAGTCTTCATGATTCTGGCAACTTCTAAGCCATCACATCTCTATCCCACAAAAAAGCTAGGCTGCAGGTAGGGGTAGAGAGAACATTTGGTTTGCAAAGGCATCTCCTCTCTCTGGAGAAAGAGGATACTGTTTCTTAAGTGTTATACCTTAAAAAGGTTCAACTGCACTAGTATGCTTGTCAACAGCTGTGAAGAAGTCATTGATGCAAAATTCTTAAATACTAGACTAACTTTACAGGAACTCCAAACCCACGAACACACCACCACTCCCAACCGCCTCAGTTCTTGGAATTTTAAACTTTTCATCAAAGAGGGTTCTAAAATCTACGGAACTGTTAAGAAGTAATAAATTGAGGTAAAGATGTTCAAGTACAAGGAGCAAAGTTATACAGGAGTTATACAAGTTACACAAGTCAAGTTATACTTTGCAAACACAATGCCTAACTTTTTTTTGGCTTTTGCCTGTGGCTCTGTTCTTTGAAGAGTTAAAAAAACCCCTATTTTTAGAAATATTCTCTTTATGAAACTAGTAGTTAGATAAGAGAAATTTAATTTCAGTTTTCATAATGGGATATGTCAACATGGTTTCTCTAATCTGAATTAGAATAGCATCTGCCATGCAAAAATCAATTTTGAGAATGCATTATCACTTCAACTTGTTATTAATGACATATGTAATAAGACAGAACTAGTGAACACTACTAGAAAGAACAATGATTTCAGTAAAAGGATATCTGATACAACAACAGGTTTTTTCTTATCTGGACTAAATGGATCCTTCCTTTTCTTTCTGGACTGTAGCTCATCATTCCATAATTCTGAAAAGACATAAGAACACGCTATGAACATCTAGCACTTTTTACAGCGGAAAACATTGTCCAAGAATGAAAAACAACACATTTTCTGGTGAGATACTGCTTCTGAACAGAATGAAGGCATTACATGATTATGTATTCATAGATTAATACTCTCACAACACACAAAGGATGCTGACAATTACTAAACCAAAGTTTGTCTTAAGCTAAAATTCAGCCCCCCTACCCAAAGTCTACAGCTGAATATTAAAGATTAAAACAAAAAACAAAACAAAAAACAAACAAAACAAAAAAACACCAACCAAACAAAAAAGAACCCCAACAACTTTGAATTTCCACCCACCTGAGGTAATGTCAATGCTATGCCTGTCTTCTTCAAGTCTTCTAATCTTCTCTTCTAGTTCACTTTGTACAGTATCATACAACAGAAGCTTTTCACTCTAAAAAAGCAAGAAATTACACATTTTTACATGACTAAGTTCTACCATCTGAATATATATGACAACAATTTAAAGCCTCAGCAGAAGGAAGGTAAGAGTACCTTCAGGTGAAAATTTTTCAGAAGCCATAATGCACTTGATATTTCCCTCTATCCACTTTTTTAGCACGAGAACCTAGCTCCTGAAAGACAGCACGCTCACTTGGCATAAGTGTAAATATAGTTATCAAATATCAGTACCAGGAATAACTAAGTATATAAAAGCATGCAGCTAGATCTTCCAAGTAACTATTCAAATTTTAACACAAATGCAGTATTCTCCTTCTGGATAGCAAAGATTCATTCACAATGAATAACTGTAAAGTAGTGATCTCTATGCCATCTTTCATTACACATCAGAAAATCTTATGTTTTCATGGAAAGCTTTTTATTAAGCTGCCTCCAATATTAATAAACCTGCAGTAATTTCTAGAAAATTATCATCTATTACCACAGTATTTATAATGGTCTGTTTTCATAGATCTAAAAAATGCTTTCCCACAGAAGTAAGAATTTATTGAGCACACAAAATAATTTAGATAGTTGTGAAAGCAAAATTGTCTACCTTAAAGCTCTGAGAAACACTTTAAAAGCACTGCTTTAGAAAAGTTAGCTAGTTTGTCCTTTTAAAAGGCAATTTCTGATTCAAATAGATTAACGTAATGCCTTCAATGGTAGGTATATCATTAGCACATTTTATGTACAAAGGCAACCAAAAACACACTCTGATGTGAACTTTCTGCAGCGTTTTGTGCAGTCTTCACTCTCTTCCCTCTCTAAGCATTTCAGAACGAGAAAAATCAACTTTGTAATAAACTGCTTGCACATTTCTTAAAACACAAGTAGGAAATACAGCCGACTGTTACATTTTAAAGTTCTTTTTCACTGAGCAGCACCTTTAACAACTCCGGTAAACAGACGACTTGGGCCTGCTGAGAAAACAGCTTAAGCAGCACAAGTCACTGCATCTAGCTATTTGCTACCATGTCTCTGCCAGAAGCTGCAGACGCAAGAGCCCAGTCAGCAGATGTCTGCACCTCAACTGCTCCTGCCCATAGCACAGCATACTAACAGAAGTTTACCTTTACCAATGCTCAAGCTAGCATGCTGGAGTGAAGCAAAACAGTTGAAGAATATACAAAACCAAAGAACCCTGTTCTACTAAATGACTGTCATGTTTACCGTTCCCTTCACGTTACAAAGTATTTAAATTCCAAAGACCTCCTTTCATATATTTTTCAATCCTTTGTTATAAAAAAACATTTCCCGTGGATTGAAAAGTGGAAGCCTCTTACATATACCTGAAATGCCAAATGAGTGTTATCTGTTCTGAGACCGTTTTTAAATTCCATTTTAAAATGAAATAGTGTTGGTGTTTAGACACCTGTTTTGCCTCAAGCACTTGGTGACAAATAAGGTGTGAAAGGCTGTTAAAGGCATCAGAGGCATGCTTGCTGAATGGTTATTTTCCAGTGGAATAGTGATTCTACAAGCAGCACTGCTGACTTTAAAGAGGTTTTCCCCCGAGAGACCCCTATTGGATGAGGAATATTTGAATTCTGAATGTTTCACAGTGGAAACATAATAGCAAAACAAGGGACAAGGATGACCGTAAATATATAGCCAAAGCAAGTCATTCAATCATGGATGAGAAACCCTATAAGTCTTGCAGGATTCTGTCCAACCTCAGGAGTATTCACAGGAGAGAAGGCAGTAAGTAATGAGTAGTCCTTCATTATACCTTGTTCCTTCCCAAGGCATCAAGAAAATGGAATTTTTTTAAAAAAAGTATGCATGCACATTCTTGCTTTATTGGTATAGTAGGAGCTACAGACTTCAGGAATATGGTGAACCACTTGGAAGAAAACACCTTTAAGTAACAGGGGGCTGAAGAATACTATGATGCAAACCTCAGGATCTAAGCAGATATGTTACATGTACTTGAATACATGTTCTACATGTACTTGAATATTTGTACTACGGCATCCAGTATTTAGATGCTTAAACAGGAATGTTTGTGTTCAAGGAGTGAAATATATTTTTCCTGTAACTGCTCTTGAAATGACAACTCTATCACTAGCTGTCCAAGGCACCTTAAAAAGACATTATTATTATTATTGTTGCTGTTGTCATTGTTAAAATGTAAGGTACTTTTGGCTAAAATTATGTCAGATATTTTAGATACTGTTCTTGGTAATATTTTTAAAACAAAGGTAAAAAAAAGAACATGTGGGAATCTATTAATAAGAACCTGTTAATGAAAAATAGGAAACTTTAGCTATATTTACATGTAAAGCCAAACTAATATAAAGCTAGTTTTTATACACTTTGGATAACCTCTTTCATAGGCTTAAATATCACAAGGCAATTGCTTTCAAATGGCAAATAACAGCAATAATAAAAACATGCACTAAACTTGGAAAGCGTGACACACAGTAAAATTAGATGAGATAAGCTATTGATGTAAAATAGCAGGCACAACCTCACAATGTTGTCGAGAGGCTTGAATTTCACATTCATACTTGTTCTTCACAGATTCCAGACAAAGCTCTCTATAGATACCTGTAATCAGACAAATTACAGCAATATTACTTTCTTTGGTTAATATCTGATTTCAGAATTCTCTTTTAAGACTGCCTGCAAGTCCCCAAATATGGATATATTATATTAGGCACTTACAGTGGCTGGCTGCTTTACAGAGTAAAAATAAGAACAAGTAATCCTTAATTCTGAATATCTGCGGAAAAATAAATGCTATCTTAACTTTTCCCCCTACCAGTTAACAAATTACACTAGCAGTCAGGCTAACTTTACAAAATAGGTCTATTTCATATTTCTGATCAAACTATGCTGGATATCCTCAGTTTTCAAATCCATCAATTACTAAATGGCCTCTCCTATTTTCTAATTAGAGTTTTAAATAATGTTTTGGGATTTTAAGTAGCTAGAAAACTGAATGAAAGAACAAGCTTTTAAAAATTAATATCTGGAATACAGCATACTTTATAATGCATGACCTTAATAAATCACCTCAATTAACAAGACTCTGTGCCAGTCTTAGAAATAGCCACTTTGCAATACAAAGGATACTGCTTCTGAGTATCAGAAACATTTCTTATATGTTTCTCAAAATGTGTCTACTAAACAGACAGCTGAAAAAACCTGAAAGGTATCCAAAAAGTAATATCTGGCAAGTATACATAGAACTTGATTTAACATATTCAATGCATTCAACACAAAATACTTAAATTGTTCTAGATTAACATCTTGAGGAGTTAAGTTTGCATGCACACTGGTGCTGTCTAGCAACTGAAGAATTCCCCAAAACAACTTCCTTTAGAATTCAGTTGACTATAAATGAATACAGTACAAGAAGAACAATACTGTTACCGGCAATTCCTCTGAAAAGCAAACCACAAGCATTATGTCAATCATCTTTTTGCTATGAAGTCACTTTTGATCTAGAATTCAAAATGTTCTTTTCTTACATCAGTATGTTATGCTGGCTTTTTTTTTTTTTAAATATTTATGGCTGACTGGCATATCTAGGTCTACCGATTTATAATCGTTGCTCATTTGCCTGAAATTGAGCAGTGTAGGTATGAATACTTCTAAAAGAAATAGTTGTATTCCTGACTTGCTGAAATAGTCTAATCCACATTTTGTGTGAACACTGCTCAGTGCCTTAGAGAACAGAGGAACACAATCTTATTTTCTACCACAGATACAAATATATCCATAGTTTAGCTAAACACTGTTTAGCTTTTTTTTTCCCCCCACCGCTTCCTCCCCTATCTGACATAGATGTAGGTCCTTAATGGTGACCTGCTGGAGTCCTGCTACTACCCACTTCTGTCAAGGCTCTCAAACAGCAAGAGCAAATAAGCCTGTTCTACAGTTTCTTCCTTTCTCTGGAATAATTTTATCAATCTCATTCAGTTGAGGACAAAAGGAAAAACAAAACCAATCCTGATTTCTAGTCTCAACTTCAAGGAAACTCTGTAGTTTTTAGCCTGGGCTCTTTTTACACTGGAGCATGGATCTTCAGTGCTGCTGAAGACAAATCAAGAGGATCTCTAATATTCTGCCTATACATACCCACCTACATGAAAGCACTGACAGCCAGCCACATTTAAAACTGAAAATCAAAAGTCTGGATTAAGGTCGCTTATTATATCAAACCTTCTGCAACACCCAATTGGGCTACTTAGGACTAGTCAAGTAAATTTGGGTTAATATCTTAAAGCACAGAAATTCCAGGTCACCAGCTGAGGAAAAGCATTATGGAGAAGACCGAGAAGGAGCGAAACGCAATAGACAAAAAGATTTCAAATTCTCCTCATAGACTGAAGTCAACAGTACCAATGAAGACCTACTGAGTCGCACTGAAGTAGCACTAGTATTATGACAAGCATAAGCAGGCTTGTTGTCTTCCAGTTTGCCTGCACCGTGCTTCTACTGAATTTCTTAGAAAAGATACTGGCATAGCTTCTCTGGCGGGAGAGACCATGACTGTCTGCCTTTTGGCTCTCTGACAGCCTGTGTTAGGTAACCCTTAGACAGCTGAATCACTCCTAAAGGAGTCAAGCTATAACATGAAAAGAATTTACAACAGGGAAGTACAGAACTATATAGTCTTATACTAACTCTAGTCTTCCTATAATACCACAGTTCCATGTGACTGTATGGTCATATCCCAGAAGAAGATAAAAGTTCTTGCCTGCTTCTTCTATGAGCATAAAAGCCTACCTAAACATTTGTTTTAATAATTAAAATGCAGCTTAGATAAATGCTGCTAAGGACAAGAGTTTTCCTCCTTCCCCAGATGAAACAGGACGATGGGAGCAGAGGAGTAGAAGAGACGCAGACTTGAAGAGCAAGAAAAACATGATCATCTCAGATGATCTGGCAAGCACTTCATAAGACAGCACCTACGTATTGCTTCATTTCAACAGTGACCAGTGTACAGGTCTGATCCCAAATATTCTGACTAATAAAAATTGTTACGGCTTTTAATTTTGTGCTTACTACACAAAGACATTAAATGAAACATAAAAACCCTGTATTTTTATTGTTATGTTGTCAGTCAACCTGTGCAAAGAGGTGAACAACCTGCACATTTTTAGGTGAAAAATATTTTACAATTAAAACTATGGCACAGTAAAATACACTCCTTTAACAATTCTAAAGAAAAGAAGAAGATTGACCTTAAAACACATAGCAAGTTTATACAGTTGAATCAGCAATACTCATTTTACATGCCTACCTGCCACCTTGGTTCGGATTTGCATATTTTCTTGTAAAGCTGCCAATGGTTCTAAATATTCAGGTGCTTTTCCAGCTATGACCTCTTGTAGTTTTGCATCCACTTGGCTTAATCTTTCTTTGTAAAGTCTGAAAATAATATAAATTAATAAAAATATGTATTTTATTTAAAATCAGACACAAGCTCAAAGAAATATTTTTAAAAGAACTATTTTGCATGTCTTTGTTAATGTTATGGAACACCCACTGAAGCAATGTTAAGATCTGTTATAATTCATGTTTTCCAATATATATTTTGGTTTTGAACAATAGTCCTCGTGTCTATTAAGCTTTTTTTGGAAAACACAAGCAGACAATCAGAAGTGTATAAAGTAAAGATAAAATTAAATGTATCTTCACCTCTGAGGAAGAAGAAAAAAAAAAAGTGTGGCTGTTAATAGGACTTAGATGGAGTAGGAAGTAAATCAACATAGAAGAGGACAGGAAAGGGTGCTACAATACGTAAGAACAATTTGGCTTACATCATGGGACAGAAAGATAGACATTCTGCAGCTAGAAATACCCACTCGCTTTTGTGTTCACATACCTGCTCCCACCCTACCATAAACCACGGAAAAACAGAGGCAGGCTCTTATTGAAACACCACTCATTTCATCTATGAAAATCCACATATTGCATACTATCACAAATATCACAGGATAATTTGTAACTGACATCTTCCATTTCTGCAAAAAGGAAGTGTATTTAAAATATTTTTATTTTACCTAAAATTCATTCCTTCTGTAAAGGCTGACATTTACTGACAGACAATGAAGAAATCTACTCGCATTTTGAATGATTTAATACAATATCAATTATAAGTACTGCTATCACAATAAAGCTCTACTCTTTGTGACTGATAACTTAAATATAGCCTTCAGTGGTAGAATCATTGCCCGCAACATAAGAAGGACATGGACCTGTCAAAGCGAGTCCAGAGGAGGGCGACAAAGATGATCAGAGGGCTGGAGCACCTCTACTGTGAAGACAGGCTGAGAGAGTTGGGGTTGTTCAGCCTGGAGAAGAGAAAACTCCGGGGAGACCTTATGGAAGCCTTCCAGTACCTAAAGGGGGCCTACAGGAAAGGTGGAGAGGGACTCCTTATCAGGGAGGGTAGCGATAGGACAAGGGGTTACACAGATATAACAGATGTCTTTGGGAGAGGGACTTCTGTTTAAAGTGCATAGGTTAAGCAATGAACTGGACATGATAAAGTTCATGTGCACTGATACATGGGAAAAAAAACCCAACAAAACCTCCTCAAGAAATTCTTACTGTTCATCTGCCATCAGCCTCCTCATCATTTTACTTTGATGACAACTCCATAGTTCAAGCATGTGTACCTAACCTAGCAATAGTCAGTGATCACTCCCCTCCTTCTTACCTGCAAACTGTGAGCGTATGATACATGCAACCTGTCCTGCAGGCAACTGACATAACCTGCAGCTGATCAAAACCCAATTTGCTGGACTGCATCCTTGATAAGCACGCTCTGCACACAATGGTTAACACGGAGGTACAGCAGAATTATTTAGCCAGAACATAAGCATGGGTGCACATGACCAACATTTGATGTGTAATCAATCAACGCTGTGTAAGCACCAAGTTCCAGCTACATCAGAGCAAGCAGTTATGGACAGGGCGCTGCCAGTACTTGGTACCATGCAGCAACTGACAGACTAAAACTGTTTATCCAGTACTTTCAAACAGTGATTTGCCTAAAATGGATAACTGCTATCAACCACTGTAAAGCCTACTTATCTTACAGCATCCAAATTCAGCTTTCCTGAAAAGAAAGAGGAGGCAGAAATCACTTCATCATCTCTGCTATTGGTTGTGACTAAAGATCCCATTGTTTATGCATCTTTTTCTTTTTTCCCAACTTTATCACCTCCCTACTCATGGCTGCTCCTCCCTATAATCCTTCTTCCATCATTCTACTGCTCCTTTCCCAGTACTCCCACTAGCACAGTTCTTCTAGCCCCTACAAACACCCCAATCTCTCAATTAATCAGTGTCTACACAACACCTTCCTCCTCATATACCATAGCCTCACCACCTCCCAAACACCACTCTCAATCCCTAAACCCCCCCGAAATACTTGTTTCCTTCCTCCAAGACCACTCTCCTTCATATTCACTCCTTAAAGGTTTGTTTCCACAAACCGTTATCAGTCGTTCAAGCTGTCCAACACATGGAAGAGCAGGACTGAACTCAAAAGCTGGCAGTTTTTCGAATGCCAAACCAGTCAGTACCAATTGGCTCCAACACTCATCAGTTGGCTCCATTTCCCAGGTTGTTCCATGCTTAGCCCAAAGAAGAGCAGCAGGACAAACAGCCTTCTCTAGACCCTGCAGCAAGAAACTGCTTGTTGGGCAATTCTTTACACACCCTATTAGATCGACAAAGCAAGTTCAGTGTCTCAGTTCTGTAGTAGAAAGAACTATTTCACAATATAAACACACATCTGAAATGGAATAACAACTGACTAGATTTTCAATTAAAATACATGCCCAGGAATAGACAAGGTCTCCTCAAAGTTTCATTTAACAGGTACCAAATTAAGTTAGTTGCCAAATTATCACCAATTTAAATTGGAACAGATGAATCCAGCTTGTCTGGGCACATGTGAAAAAAAGCCAAATTAAAATACATACAGAAGACTGGGTCTAACACAAATAAGATTCATTTCTGAATAACTGTGGCTATTGATTTCATCTCTTTACTTACTTAGATGTTATGGTAAACTAGAGACAGAGGTAACAGTACTTTCATTTTTTTTTAGTATTGGTATTTGGTTTGCAGTAACCACAAAAAACTTTAATTGGTACCAACTACAAAACCTGCTGTGATACCCTGTGAACAAACCCTAATTTCTTACAAAGACTGCTCTTGGGTCTGTCCCACATATATAAGAGGATGCAAAAGATCATGAGTAAATAAATAAGCAAACAGAATCACAAATTTCCCTAAAATCACAATTCCTTGGTTCTGCTAGGGATTTTGATGCAATAGACTCATACCAGCCCTTCACAGCAACAACGTTTCCCTAAAATCACAATTCCTTGGTTCATACTAGCCCTTCACAGCAACAACACTTCAAAATCACTCTTACAGCAAAACAGAAAATAAATAAATAAATACATAAAGGTATTCTGGAGCAACTGCCTGCAAATAATTTCAGAGTTCCCAATCCTCTTTCTTCTCTAAAGGTAGCATCCACATACATGAAAGACAAGAAACACCAGCTGCACACAATATTCTCGTGGAATGGATCCTCGAATGAGGCACTTAAAACATTAAAAATACTTACTGATCTTTAAGATCCGTAAATTGCTTTTCAAGATTGGACATTTCATCTAAACACTCCATTCTTCTTCTTTCACAGTCCTCATCATCCATTTCTAAGAATAAAAAGAAAGGTAATTTGTTTTGAACAATGTAACAAATAAACTGGGTATTTTGTTTCTAGTGAATTTGAAGTAAGCCTGAATTTTAGGCATAAATAGATTATCCATTATATTATTATCTTATAGCAGAATATGAGGAATCACCTGACATATAAACTAGAAAGTAAGAAACTTCGATGTAATTCTAGAAGAAACCCCACAAACAGCAGTTTTTCTTCCTCAAAACAGGAAACAACATCTCTGTAAGACTTGAAAAGGTTAAATTTCATGACTGATAATACAAAGTGTATCTAAGAGTGCATGAAACAGAAAAACTAAACATTGTATATCACACCACATGAAAGGCACCATTAAGCATGAAGAGTTATTAGCCACCACTGAAAATTCAAATGTATCCTGAGTTAGTATGAGCAAAAGAAATCCCCGGAAAGCAAGCACAGTTCAATGTTACATTTGTCATATAAAATTCAGGGGTTTGTTTTATTAATATCCTTTTTAATTTATATTCCTGATTTTTTTCTTAATTTACCTAGTGAGCATAACTGTAAAGTATAATAAATACCCACTTCTTGGCCAAAAATCTTGCTGCTTGCCATAGAGACATCTGATGTTACTAAACATCAGTTGTTACCTCCACTGCCTCTTCTTAGACTAGAAAACAAAAAAACTAAGCTACAAAATTCTGGACTGTTTCCCATCCTTCCGTGAAGAAAAAAAAAAAAAAAAAAGACTTTGTTAAGCCATATTCAGAAATCAGAGATGTCCTGAAACTGCTTTATACCAGCAGTATCTCCAGCAATTAGCTCTCTACAGTTACGGCACAACTGACCAATTATCGAGCAGTAGGAGAAGACATGCAGAAGAAGGGACGGCCATACAGTCAGGAACTGGGACTGAACTGGTGCAAACAGGCCAGGTGTTTGAGAGGAGGGGCTGCCCTACGGAGGACATATCCATCCAAGCAGTTACTCTGTCAAGAAAAATCTTAACTCCTGACAGAAAGGCAAAGTAGGATCCTGGACCAAGCAGAGACGGCCTGGACTCGCTCTTCTACACCATAAACAACTCTGAGCCTTTTGCTTCTTCCTCACTCACATTTTTCCAGCAGACAGGTTTAACAGCTTCATGCTGTCTCCTACACCAACTACAGAAAGCAGCGTGCAAGCCTTCATCCTTACTGTTTTGCAAAAGAGGATGGCAATTTGCAAAGGTGATGAGGTGACAGGAGTAGCTTCAGGGCCAGCGTAACTGCTGCGGAAGATCTGAGTAACTCACATCTTCCTCTCAGACCTCTCAGTGTATGAAGTTTTCTGCACATAGCTTCTTCCTGAAATCATCACAAGCTTTTCAGACTAAAAACTGCACTAGCCCCCTCTGCCTGGATATGAAGACTAGCACGCAGTGGAGCAGTAATTATCTGTATTACGATGGTATCCACAAGTCCAAATCAAAGTCCTACTGCAGTTTGTTACGTTACGGTTAGTACAAGAAAAAAAACACAGCACGTACAAAGTTTTAAAACATACCATAACCTGAACTATTTGAAAGCAAAGTGAGAAAATGTAAAGACAGAACTTCAAAAAAATACCTTGAATGCTTAGCACATTGGTGAGAGTGGAGGAAGAAAGTATCAGGCTGTTAAGAGACACTATTTCACTTTAAAATATTGTTCTCAAAAGCAGGGAAGATCCTGAATCTAGTGAATAAGGCTAAAAATCAGATTAAAGAGCAAAGTTTTATTTGGCTGCCCAATGTAATATGCAAGCCAAAATTGGCTGGGCAACTTTCAACTTGGCCAGATTTAAGGAATGTGGCAGTCATATTACTCAAAGAGTTGTCTAAAGCATTTATGTGCCATAAAAGTAAAGCCTCTTTAAAATTTGAAGGCACCTCCCCATGAAGGCAGACAGGAACAAGCACTGGGATACCGATAGTTCTCCCACTTTATTCACAAATTCAAATACGTGTTTCAGATGTGTTCAGCTACGCTTTAGGTTCTAAGTATGTTTTAGTAAGGAAACTACTCAGAAGCATTTCCTTAAATTAACAAGGATTTTATTGTTTGTGTACGTTTAGGGACTACAAACCAAAGAAAACAGATGAGAACTGTAACCCTGGCTGAGGATCAGTGCAACACCCACTGTTGGAGGGGAAAGGGACTGCATCTCACATTTTAAACTTGCGTTGCAAGGAAACTACAAAGCGTTGGTATCTGAGGGCACAGCTGACTCTCTTGTGGATACTGAAATAACACATAGCTCTCTCCAGTCTCCCCTCAGCTACGTATACACTCAAAAGTCTTTGACTTTCTGCCTACGATTGTAGAATTCATAAAACAATGAAGATTTTCAGAGTCCTGAAATATCTTTAATTCCCCAGTTATGGAACTTCTTCCCCACGGCCTTAAACAACATACAGATGGGGGAATATGCAGTACTGAAAAAGTAAGAGATTTTAGGATCAAATCTCATGGCCTTCCAATTGAAAATTTACATCACTGGAGGTGGAAGATGCCTCATTTCTTATTAAAACACTTGCTAGTAGGCCCATCCTGTCTCAACAATTCAGATTTCCCATAGAGTTTCATACTGCACAAAGTATTTAGGCTATTTTTAAACACTTTCAAAATCACAGTCATTCTTCTCCTACTATATTCAAGCAGTTCAACTCAGTAACTAGGGCAGCCTGGTTTAAAGACAAAAAACCTCATAGTACTTAAAATGTAACAGTGCCTAGAATAGGTCTTTTTAATAAGCTGTGGCCTATATTAAGGGCTCTAAAAAATGGCCAAATTATCATCTGGGATGGTGAGCATATCTTGTGGCTTTTTTTATTCATCCCTAATATGCTATTCTATATGCTGGTCAATAAAAACCCCTATACAAAATACACAGCGTCAAAAGGAATGGGATAGAAACAGTGCCAGCTCTCAAGGGCAAGTTATGCTTCTTCTAACCACACCTTCTGTATTCTCAGGCATCTACGGGGGAAAAAAAAAAAAAAAGCAGAATGCAAGTAAAGCAAATGACAAATTTAACAAAAAAAAAATCATTTAAAATCTTTTTTGCTCATTATTACTAATTTTAATTAAGACTTATTTCTTGCGGTGCTAATCATCTTATGTCTGTAGGAGCAATATGCTTTCATGGAGTATGTTCATATTTGTCAAGACACTGAGACAAGCATGTAATTTTCTTTAATCATCACTTTTTAAGTGCTCCCTTAAAAGCATTTCTCTGTGGAATGCAATAGAAATTATCTGGAGAGCTTCTTGTATTGTTTTAAAGAAACATTCACAGACTACTTTCACTTAGAACACAATTCCTCCTTCCTCCCCACTAATCCCAGAAGAAACCAAGGCAAGGGCAAGACAACAGAATTATTTGCCTTCCATAAAAATCAACCAAAGTGTCTTTGAGGACATGTAAACGTCAAAGTTTTCTTTAAAAATATCAATTAGCACAACTACAAACGGAAGCAAAGGCAAGTTTTGAAAAAGAGCAAGCTTCAAAGCTAGAACTAACAGAGACAATTCCCTCTTCACCAGAGTCAGTGAGTCGGAGGAGAGAAAGAGTTAAGTCTACATCTGTTATACCAAGCTCCCTTCCTCACACAGAAAATGTCATTTTTTTAGACATACAGATTAACCACAGTAAGAGATGAAGAAAGGGCGTTCCCAGATGGCATCTAGCTACAACACAAACTGAAAGGCTAAGATGGGCTAAGTAAGTGGTGGTTATTGTTGCACTGCTGCTCCTGGACCTCATCGAGGAGTCCTTCACAACCCTGTCTCTCACCCACCTACTGCCCAATAAGCCTGCATATTCCTCCTTTACACTCTCTCTATTTTCCCCTGAAAGATGCAACAAACTTCATATATCAGAACTTCTTGAAAAGACATCTCCATGAATTTATTATCCAAAATAGAGTATTCCCTTTTTAGTCCACGTCCAACCCTGATAATAAAGGAATTGAAGCATTCTTTTATAAGTCACAGAACAGAGCAGGTTGCTGTGCAAACAAGGACATAATCAGATATGCTTTTCCAACTTAAAACATGATTACTTCCAGCTTCATGCTCTGGTACCCTCACTCAATTTCACCTTTTTTCCAGCGCAACCACCAACAGACAGAGATGCTGCCTAGTTTAGGTTTCATCAGAACAACCCAAGACATTTTGAGCACATTTTTCTGGCCTTGTTTTTCAATGGAATCACTTTGAGAGAACAGGGGTAAGGAAAGACTGATTAGCCTTCCTCAGTAGCAGATCTGTAATTGTATCAATAAATTCTCCACCTACAACAGCCCAACTGTTTATAAAAGCTGTGCACACATTCAAGTTTCAGTGCAGCACAGCTTTGAAGTCAGTCCCATGACTGGTCCGGGTTATCAGGCACCAGGTCAGTTTGTAGCAGTTTTGATGAACACAAACCAAGTTCTTTTGCTATCAAGTTAAACCCAAAGCTTCATTTCAAGTACTTGTCAAATGTGTTCCAACATCTATGGAGAACACAAGAGTTTGAAACAATGATTTGTCCTTCAGGCAGCTTCCAATCAAACATATTCAGTTCAGGCTACATAACTGGAAATAAATCCTAACTACTTGAGAGATGCGGGTGCCTCAGCACTATCAACTCAGAACTATTTATTCTCTATTCTGATTTTGCCAAACCAGTTGCTACTACAGACACAAATAAAATCACTATGTTTATAATAATTTTGCTGACTCTTTCAAGCCCATACCTGGATATGGTCCACAGTTCACTGATTGAAGAGATCTCCTGTGTAGCATTGCATTAGACAAGTGAAGCAAGACCTCCCCTCAGATGAGGGAACAGCCCAGAACTAAAGAACTCCCTGCTCCAGGAAACCTCCGTCTAAACCCATGCAAATCATTAGACCCAAATTCACAAAAACATGTAGGTGTTCAGTTAGCTGATTGAAGTTGGAGGTTTTTACATATTCTCACAAAACTACAATTTATGACTTCTGC